CTGCTTCTCCCTCTCCCACTCCCCCTGCTTGTGTTCCCTCTCTCGCTGTGTCTCTCTCTGTCAAATAAATAAAATCTTTAAAAAAAATAAAAAATGAAAAATAAATTAAAGAAAGCTAGGAGGCAAAAAAAAAAAAAAAAAGGTGGGAATTGGGGGGGACACAATGAGCCACAACTGTAGGTAAGAAACAAAGGGAGATGCTCTAGGGGGACACCGATCTTACATCTGCCTGATTCTAATGAGTATGACTGCAGAGACTGAGGCTATGAGGTGGGAAGAAGACTAATTTCAATGTATAGCCTTTTGTACTATCAGAGTGTTTTGGTTTTTTTTAGCATGTGCACCTATGACTTTTTCAACAACTACAGGGGTTTGTTGTTGTTGTTGTTTTAAGATTTTACTGATTTATTTGACAGAGAGTGCACGCACAAGCAGGGGGAGCAGCAGAGGGAGAGGGAGAAGCAGACTCCCCGCCAAGCAGGGAGCCCAATGTGGGACTCCATCCCAAGACCCTGGGATCATGACCTGAGCGGAAGGCAGACGCTTAACTGACTGAGCCACCCAGGCGCCCTGTTGTTTGTTTGCTTCACACATTGATATATGTTACCATTCTTGGGAGGATTTGCACTTTCACATGCCTACAGCTACAGGCATCCATCAGAACTTTAGGGGGCTGTTTGTTAGACTAGGGAAGGTATTTTTGCCCAGGAGAGAGCCTTTCTCAATTCTTCTGAAATATCTATGACAGCTCAAGACTGTGTCCACTATGCTTCTAGGGGAAGTGTGTGGTGGGCCCCCCTTGTGTCTGGGTAGCTCTCCAGAAGCAGAACACCCTGGTCAGGCAGCAGCGCCTGGGGCCTTAACCACTCCTCTGCAAGGTGCAGCCCCGCTTTCCCACAGCCAGAGCAGACAGGTATTTTTAACCTTGGTGTTGGCTTACACAGAGGTTCAGGTATTTTCTGGGCCATACTATGAGACAAGAAAGCTGAGATCCGACACTTAGACTCATTTGCCCTACCTCAATGTGCTGGTTTTATGCACCTTGGAGAATTGAACTATAAAAGCTGTAATAAGTGAAAACTATTTATTACGGTTCCCCAGAAACCCTTTGGGTATCATATTTCTTTTGTTTCTGACACAGAAGTGCAGTGCGGGGTATGGGCAGCTAACCCCACCCCACCCCCGTGGGGAAGGGGATAGAAAAATTACCTCCACATCACCTGCCTTAACTAGACCAGGAAGAGAAACCAGACGTGGGTCCATTACAAAAGAACTAGAATTACAGGTAGCTTATTTAGGTCCTCTTCAGAAGGTGGCGTGCATTAGTCATAAGATCTAATAGCACATCCATGAGACAAATCAAGTCAACAGGAAATTGATCATGTTTTCATGAGCTGAAGACAAGTTGAAATATGTGTGCTACACACACAAAAAAAAGGATTTGTAGGAAATTCGGGTTTTTTTTTTTTTCATGAAATGAGTATGAAGGGATATCGATTACAGATTTATTAACAGAAGAGGAATACAGACATATCACTTAAGTAAATATATATCCCTCCAAGCCACCAGCTATGCAAGTGCTGAGCTAGAAAGCAACTAGTCTGGGCCCATTTGTGGGCACCTGTCCCTTCCCTTAAGAGAAAGGAAGGTAAATGTAAGCAGGCTGTGAGTTTATTTTAAACACACACACACACACACACACAGGGGCCCCTGGGTGGCTCAGTTAAGCGTCTGCCTTCATCTCAGGTCATGATCCTGGGGTCCTGGGATCGGGCTCCTTGCTCAGCAGGAAGCCTGCTTCTCCCTCTCCCACTCCCCCTGCTTGTGTTACTGCTCTCTCTCTCTCTCTGTCAAATAAATAAATAAATAAATCTTAAAAAAATAAATAAAACATCCACATACACAATAGGAAAATAAGTCTATAGAGACCATCAACATTCTGATTACAAGGCTTAGTCATCTTTTAATTTTGTGGCCTTTCAGAAAATAGAGCCCATTGAAGAATCTAAATCAAATTTAGTCCAGGTTTTGGGGGGTTCGCACTGATCTAAGAATAAGCTTGCTCCTAGCATTATTCTCTCAGATCACAGCTAACTAAGAATTGGCCACTTCCATACCACTGACACAGAATGCCCCCAGTCACAAGGCAGGATGGGTAACACAATTTACAGCTGACTGTCTTGTTCCAGATTCCAAGTGCCTGTTTGGAACCTCTCCAGGAGCCCCTCAGAGCTGGAAGGGAGGAGAGCCACTTCCAGATTCCTGAGTCACCCCAAAAGGTGGCCTTGGTTCCTTACCTGTCAGCCGTGGTGTCCCTCCATCTCACACCCCATTCTCCTTCCCAGCTGCTCCTCCCTTTTCTCCCTTTGTGTCTTTCTTAGCTGTTTAAAAATCAAGCCTTAGGGGTGCCTGGCTAGCTCAGTTGGTAGAGCGTGTGATTCTTGATCTCAGGGTTGTGAGTTTGAGCCCTATATTGGGTGTAGAGATTACTTTAAAAATAAATAAATAAATAAAAATCAAGCTTTAAAAGAACAAAGTATTTCTGAGCACATGGTTATATAGCCATTAAATCTTTATTTTCCACTTAATTCCTTCTATTTCTTCAACAATATGACATGGCACATTTTTTTCTTTAATTTATTTTTTTAGTAATCTCTACACCCAACATGGGGCTCGAATTTACGACTCCAAGATCAAGAGTCACATGCTCGGGGCACCTGGGGGGCTCTGTTGTTAAGCGTCTGCCTTCAGCTCAGGTCATGATCCCAGAGTCCTGAGATCGAGCCCCGCATGGGGCTCCCTACTAGGCGGGGAGCCTGCTTCTCCCTCTGCCCCTGCCCACTACCCCCCACCCATCCCCCGCTTGTGTGCTTGCTCTCTCTGTCTCACACAAAAATAAATAAATACAATCTTTAAAGACCAGAATTCATTTACAGACTAAATCTCCATATTGTAAGTGCCTCCATGTGGTTATGGGCTAATATCTATAGCTGCACAGACTTTACTAAACAATTTTAGATCTTCTGTCTTGCTTCTTAATTGGAAGAGGAGTCTGGAAAGCATTGCCAAGCAGGCTGCATGAGTCACAACAGGTGACTGT